GGATTCAAGATGAGCAAACCACATCGTCGATCTATTGGAAAAAAAGTTTCTGATATCTTTTTTTATCTCTAAAATATAGCCGAAGGAAAAGTAATTTGATTTATATTTAGGGCCCTCTAGTCAAAGACAAACGCTGGCCGAGGCAGACCCAGATTGGACGTCTCATCCTTTTTTACCTATCTCTCCACTTTCTCAAACGTTGGGCCAGTCTAACCGAAAAGCCAATTTATTCATTCACATATTGTCATGTATATATACAAGCGCAGAGGAGCTAGGGTTACATTTGATATTGGCCTATACATATGCCCATGAGGATAAATGTGCATCCACACAATTACATAACAAATTATTTGATTTTTCTACATTGTCTTTATTTTCTTTGGATATGCATCCACAACACAATAAATTTGCAAATCATGTTACAAAGTCAACTAATGAGACAAAGTCTAATAGAAATCACACATCTGATGGATAATAACTAGCTATGCTTGCACAAAAAAAATCACTATACCAAATTAATCCATTTGCAGTTTAAGGTTTAGGTTTTAACTCCCAATAAAATAAAATAAAACTGATCAAAATGTTCAATGAAAATGGATGTTTTATTTAAAATGTATTGAGTTTCATACCAGAATAGACTAGACTAGACAGAACATGCTTGAGTGGTTATAAAGTACACAGAGACCGGACATATATCAGACTAGGTCAGACCAAAAAGATCCAATCCGATTAAAAACATCCTAATTGTAAGGTTGAAAAAAACAAAACAAAAATGATTCAAGTTATTGAGTTTTACATTACTCAAAACTCAATTTGCCTAACCGAACGTATGACATCTATGTTACCATTAAAATCAGTTGAATATACTGAGATTAATAAACTTCTTACGTACTGGAGCAGTTGAATTTGCTAATTCTACAAAATTATAGAAAAAGTGTATTTGATTTATATTTTATTAATAAAAGAAAAATTATTTGAAAATGGCAAACAAAGTCATCTATAGTAACTCCGGCCAATTTCACAATAGTAACCACAAGTGTCTACAACCTTACCTATTTATTGTAAGAAAATGCAGCGCACGAAACCAAAACTTACGTGTTTAGTGAAAACGTTGTTTAACAAGCCTCATTATCTGAAAATAAAGGTTAGTATACCAAACGAGTTCATAATATCAAGCATTTTCACGTTATATGCTTAAATAAAAATAGAGTCAAATATGGTAAAGATCAATTTCTCATATACGATTAAGGTGCAAATTCCCGTGCATTCCTCGTGCAACGTACGGGTTCGTCGGCCAGTTCTCGTATAAGGATCAAATTTATTAAATCCAGATTTCTTTTGTCTGAATGGTGAAATTAAGAATATATCGTCTATTTCTATTTTTACTTAAAACGGCATAGCGTATCGAGTTGTTCAAGGATAAGGAAAAAGAAAAGAAAAAAGTTTATCACATCAAGCAAAGTCGACATGCGCGGAACAGAGAACCATATAGTGACACGTACCCTCTACCATAATTTCATTTCACAGTTGCGAAGCACATCTTTAGATGTAATCTGGGATGCAAGGAGAAAAGAAAAGACATTAAACAAAGAAAATAATAGACCAGAAACTGAAGAAAGGATTCAAGATGAGAAAACCTCATCGTCGATCCATTGGAAAAAAAGTTTCCGGTATCTTTTTTATCTCTAAAATAAAGCCGAAGGAAAAGTATTTTGATTTATATTTAGGGCCCTCTAGTCAAATACAAATGCTAACCCAGTCAGACCCAGATTGGACTTCTCATCCTTTTTTTACCTATCTCTCCACTTTCTCAAACGCTGGACCAATCTGACCGAAAAGCCTGTTATTCAATTACATATAGTCATGTATATATACAAGGGGAGAGGAGCTAGGGTTACATTTGATATGAGCCTATACATATGCCCATGGACATCCACACAATTACATAACAAATTATTTGATTTTTTTTCTTCACATTCTTTATTTTCTTTGGATATGCATCCACAACACAATAAATTTGCAAACCATATGTTACAAAGTCAACTAATGATACAAAGTCTAATAGAAATCACCCATTTTAGGGGTAACATCTAGCTATGCTTGCACAAAAAAAATCACTATACCAAATTAATCCATTTGCAGTTTAAGGTTTAGGTTTTAACTCCCAATCAAATAAACTAAAACTGATCAAAATGTTCAATGAAAAAGGATGTTTTTATTTGAAATGTATTCAGTCTCATACCAGAACAGACTAGACTAGACGAACAGACTAGACTAGACGAACATATTTGAATGGTTATAAAGTACACGGAGATCGGACATATATCAAACCGGGTCAGACAAAAAAATCCAATCCAATTAAAAACATCCTAATTGTACTGGCTGAAAAAAAAGTGATTCAAGTTATTGAGTTTTACATTACTCAAAACTCAATTGGCCTAATTGAACGTATGAACATCAATGTTACCATTAGAATCAGTTGAATGTGCTGAAATTAATAAATTTCTTACGTACTGAAGCGGTTGAATTTGCTAAATCTACAAAAATATAGAAAAAGTGTATTTGAATTATATTTTATTAATAAAAGAAAAAAGTATATTAAAATGGCAAACAAAGTCATCTATAGTAACTCCGGCCAATTCTAGAATAGTAACCATAAGTGTCTACAACCTTACCTATTTTGATTGTAAGAAAATGCAGCGCATGAAACCAAAACTTACGTGTTTAGTGAAAACGTTGTTTACCAAGGCTCATTATCTGAAAATAAGGGTTAGTATACCAAACGAGCTCGTAATATCAAGCATTTTCACGTTAGATGCTTAAATAAAAATAGAGTCAAATATGGTAAAGATCAATTTCTCATTTACGATTAAGGTGCAAATGCATGTGCATTCCTCGTGCAACGTACGGGTTCGTCGGCCAGTTCTCATACAAGAATCAAATTTATTAAAATCCGAATTCATTTGTCTGAATGGTGAAAATAAGAATAATTTGTCTATTTCTATTTTTACTTAAAACGGCATATTGTATTGAGTTGTTCAAGGATAAGGAAAAAGAAAAGAAAAAAGTTTATCGCATCAAGCAAAGTCGACATGCGGGAAACAGAGAACCATATAGTGACACGTACCCTCTACCATAGTTTCATTTCACATTTGCGAAGCACGTCTTTAGATGTAATCTGGGTTGCAAGGAGAAAAGAAAAGACATTAAAGAAAGAAAATAATAGATCAGAAACTGAAGAAAGGATTTAAGATGAGCAAACCCCATCGTCGATCCATTGGAAAAAAAGTTTCCGATATCTTTTTTATATCTAAAATAAAGCTGAAGGAAAGGTAATTTGATTTATATTTTAGGGCCCTCTAGTCAAAGAAAAACGTTGGCCCAGTCAGACCCAAACTGGACTTCTCATCCTTTTTTACTTATCCCCCCACTTTCTCAAACGCTGGCCCAGGCTAACCGAAAAGCCTGCTATTCATTCACATATAGTCATGTATATATACAAGGGGAGAGGAGCTAGGGTTACATTTGATATGGGCCTATACATATGCCCATGAGGATAAATGGACGTCCACACAATTGCATAACAAATTATTTGATTTTTCTTCACATTCTTTATTTGTTGTTGTTGTTGTTGTAATTGTTGTCGTTGTTGTCGTTTTCGTTGTTTTCATTGTTGCCGTGGTTGTCGTTGTTATCGTTGTTGTCGTTGTTGTTGTTGGTGTTGTTGGTGTTGGTGTTGGTGTTGGTGTTGCTGTTGTTGTTGTTGTTGTTGATGTGTTGTTGTTGTTGGTGTTGTTGTTGTTGGTCGTGGTGTTGTGGTTGTTGTTGTTGTTGTTGTTGTTGTTGGTGGTGGTGGTGGTGGTGGTGTTTTTTGTGTTGTTGTTGTTGCTATTGTTGTTGTTGCTGCTATTGTTGTTGTTGTTGTTGTCGTTGTTGTTGTTGTTGTTGTTGTTGTTGTTGCTGCTGCTACTGTCGTTGCTGTTGTTGTTGCTGCTACTATTGTTGTTGCTATTGTTGTTTTTATCGTTATTATTATTGTTATTTTAAATATAATATTCTCGCAAATCAATAATTAGTGAAGTCGGCCGATTGAGGGACGCGTAAACTGTACAGCCGGCTGTACAGTGATCACTGTACAGCCGGTGGCAAAATTGTAATTTTTGTGAAAATCACGGATTCTTCTAAATGAGCATTTATGCAACTTTGATGAGCATCAATCATGTTCTTTTGAGTATTAGGAGTCTAACGGTGAGAATCAGTGATCTCTGCTTCAAACCTTATATATCACTTTTGGTTTATTATTTTTTCGTTTAGTACGATACATTTGAAATGTTCAACATTTTAAAATGAGCATACATAACTTATAAGTTAGTATCAAACAACTAAAAGGTTCATTTGTGTGTGCTCATTCTTTTTGGGCGTTATATTTGAGTTTAACATAAAACTCATTTCATTTAAAATGAGTATTAAGCAAATATCAAATGAGTTACATAAATTACAAAATGAGCCATCATAAAACTCATTCGAAATGTCTACTATGCTCATAATTTCATTTTGTATAAAAAAAATGTGGCAGCCCATGTAGCAGGCCAGTAATTAGCGGAGACCGAAAAATAGAGTGTGAAGAATAGGAATCGCTCGCAGGGGTAGAGCCGTCTCTGCGTCGGCTAAGAATCTCAGTCGTGACTCGTGAGTTGCACTTGGAAGCTTGGCTATCGGCGATCTGCCTTCGTGAGTTGCACCAGACTTTCGATCTACCGTCCTTCGTCGTCTTCGTTGGTGAATTGCAAGGCTGAATCACAAGTTGCAGGGCTGAATCACGGAGATTTAATTACAAAAAAACCTAGCTGTACGGTGAGCACCGTACAGTCAGCCGTACGGTGTATTTTACCTCGATTGAGCTACAATTTTATCACTTTCCACATATTCAACCCTTTTAACCGATGAGTGTTATTAAATGGGTACTAAAGTCTAAAACATTCTGGCCCAAAATGTTTGATCCAGTCCAATTAGAAAATCACATGCCTAAATCTGGAATAACCTAACTCTTCGTTGTATCAATTCATCTCTCTCTGCCGCTCATCTCTCAGCCAGCCGGCCGTACGGCTATCTCCGTTCCCATCTCCTGCCGTGCCGGGAGGTTATTGCCGTACCGTTGTTCATCGTCACCGGATTCATCTCAAACCACAATCCACAATCCAATGGCGAAAGATAATAGAACCTTCTCTGTGAAGCCTAAGCTCAAACCCACCGCTCGCAAGTCTACATCGACTCCAGAATTCAAATACTGGAAATCATTCAAAGCCCCAAAGGAACTCCCGTCCCAAACCCCAGGCTCCACTATCACCTCCATCTCATTCTCACCAACATCTCCTTACGACTTCGCCGCCACCCATTCTGCTTCTGTATCCATTTTCTCCGCCCAGACTTTTGAACGCAAGACCATATCTTCCGCCTTCAAAGACACTGCCACGTCCGCTACTTTCCGCTCCGACGGTCGCCTCCTTGCCGCAGGTGACATTTCCGGTGCCGTTCACGTCTTCGACCTCAAATCCCGAGTCCCGTTGCGTCGCCTCCGCGGCCACTCGCGTCCTGTTCATGTCGTCCGCTATCCCCGGACGGACAAGCTCCACCTCTTCTCCGGTGGAGATGACGCCATCGTCAAGTACTGGGACGTCACCACTGAGGCTCAAATTGGTGATCTTTTAGGCCATAAGGACTACGTCAGGTGCGGCGACTCCTCTCCTGTAAGCGATGACATGTTTATTTCTGGATCGTACGATCATACTGTCCAGGTTTGGGACGTCAGGGTGAAGAACTCGGGTTCTGTTATGAAAATTAACCACGGGAATCCGGTAGAGGATGCAATTTACTTACCTTCCGGCGGATTAGTTGCAACTGCTGGTGGAAATTCTGTTAAAATTTGGGATATCATAGGTGGTGGGAAATTGCTTCACACTATGGAGAGTCACAACAAGACTGTAACATCTCTTTGCGTTGGTAGGATTGGCAAAGAAACAGGAGAAGAAGCAAATCAATATAGAATTTTGAGCGTTTCCTTAGATGGGTACATGAAAGTTTTTGATTATTCCAAGTTCAAAATCACATACTCAATGAGATTCCCAAATCCCCTATTATCAGTTGCCTTCTCACCTGATTGCTCCACGAGGGTGATCGGGTCATCAAATGGGATTCTTTATATTGGGAAAAGAAAGCCCAAAGGTGGTCTTGCCAATGAAGAGCCCTTGAGTTTTATGGCTGACCAACCACGAAGCCAGTCATTAAAACCAACTTATTTCAGATACTTCAGGAGAGGACAGAATGAGAAACCATCAGAAGGGGATCATATGGTATTGAGGAGGAAGACAGCTAAATTAGCAGAGCATGATAAGTTCTTGAATAAATTTATGCATAAAGAAGCACTATTAGCTGCCTTAAAAGCAAAGAAACCAGAATATGTGGTAGCTGTTATGGAAGAATTGGTGATCAGGCAGAAACTGCTGAGATGTGTCTCAAATTTGGAGGGAGAGGAGGTTGGTTTGCTGCTGAGGTTCCTTCAAAGGTGCTTGACAACGCCCAAATATGCCCGGTTTTTAATGCCATTGACCAATAAGGTGATTGAGTTAAAGGTTGAAGATATTAAGGCAAGTGAGGCACTGAAGAAGCACATTACAAACTTAAAGAGAGATGTTGAGGAGGAAATTAGAATACAACTGATGTTGCAAGAGATACAGGGTATGGTTTCCCCCTTGTTAAAGATTGCTGGAAGAAGGTGAAAAAGTGCTATCCAACACCCCAATGTATTTTGCTTCAACTAGTTTTTTTCTTTTCTTTTTATTAAAGTTTTAATTTAAACTGAGAGTGATATGATCAAAATATTGCTTAGTGTACCATGCTAGACTTTTTGACACTAATTATGCTATTTTTTTGTTTCTGCTATCTTGGTTGTAGAGTATTATGTTCTTAAATTGTGTTATGGAAATGGAGCCTATTTGGCTCATGGTATGCTCTTTTACTTGGTGCCTGACTGCCTTAATACGTATGGTTGGCTTTTTTCAGCTTTTGGACTGCTTCCTCTCTTGTTTCGGTATTGATGATTTCTCATTCTGTGACTGGGTTCCGGTCTGATTTCACTCTCCAGATCGAAATCATCAGAAGGGGTCCAATTTGGCAGAATGAGAAACCATTTGAAAGCCCAATTAATAAAGATCACACTTCAACCTTCTTACTTAGATTATTTTTCTCTTTATATTTAAATAAAATTATATATTTTAGATGCATGCTGTCATGCTGTAGACGTATTAAGAGTTTTTGTGCTCTTTCAAGCGCGAACTCCCTATTCACACTTCAACTTTCAGATTTCAAACTGATGATTACAGCTCAGATTTCTGGTTTTTAGTTTTTAGATATAATTATTTTGTTATTTCTTAAATAGAATATGTAATACGGAGTAATTAATAAAGTTATTCAATTAAAGAGTTACAAATATAAGAAAAACGTATTTTTTATTGACCAGGATCAAATTATATTCTTATAAATTAGAAATTGAGCCTAATCACCTAAGCTCCATGACCTTTAGTTTGGAGATCTAGTATTCTAGTGTATGGTGTTGAAAAGCAGCAACGCAGAAGAGGGCAAACATTGTATCAGAGATCGAACAGGCAAACAATCTGTAATAAAATCAATAAAATACTACTCCTTACTTCAGTCCCATTTTGAAGATCATCTGACAAAAGTAAAAGTTAACTCATGCTAATAATAATATACTCTCTCTGGTCCCAAATGAAATTCACACTTTGACTTCACACAAATTTAGGAAATAAATTTGACTTTACTGTAGAGTACACTGTTTGGCACTGTTTTGCACTGTTTTGATATAGATAATTTGCCAAATAAGGAAGAGAGAAGAAGTGTGAAGTTTATTTTGGACCTACCCAAAAAGGAAAGTGTGAACTTCATTTGGGATCGGAGGGAGTAATAAATATTTAAGGCTACAATAATAATTCACGTATTGATCTCTCAAATATAGTACAAGGGATGGACTGGGACGGGTCGGCCCGACCTGACACTTTTTAGGCCCGACCTGCTACTTTTTAGGCCTGGTCCTGGCTCGGTGGCTATAAGGATGGACTTTAGGATCATTTTTTTGGGCTTGACCCGGCCGGGCCTGATTGCACTATTTTTTTAATTTATTGCTCAATCCTGTCCCGAAGTTCAGCCCGATCCGGTACTGTTAAGGCCCGGGTCGACCCCGATAAAAACTCAGGCCAGTACCAGGCCTGAAATTCTTAAGCCTGAGCCTGCCCCTGTCCCGGCCCGAAGCCCAACCTGACCCGGTCCTGGTCCACATCCACTCCTATATAGTACTATACGTGCAAGACATCATCAAATGCACCCAAAGCTTCCACATTTGATATTAGGGATGGATTCGGGCCGGGTCGGGTCCGGGCCGGGCCTAGGCCCGGTCGGGCCGCCGGTTAAAGAAAAGTGGGCCCGGGACCGGCCCGAGGGTTGGACGGGTCCGGTTCGGGCCGGGCCACCCGCCCGGGTCACGGTTCGGGCCGGGCCACCCGCCCGGGTCACGGGTCGGGTCCGGTTCGGGCCGGGCCGGTTAATTTTTTTTTATATAATTTATATTTTATAGTTTATAGTTTTATACGAGTATTAAAAACAAACTTCAATTGCATTTATTTGAAATGAAATAGGAACTACATTTGAAAATTAAAACAAACTTTAAGAGAAACATTTTGAAAATTGTAATCAATCGGAACTTCCCGCACCTCCCGATCCTTTGGCTTTGTCACATGACTTCATATGCTTGATTGCCATCCCGAATCCGCCTGAAGCCCCCATGATACATTTTTTTTCACACCATTTGCAAATTGCGTACCACATCCAGGTCTTCGGGTCCTTCTGCTTATCAAAATTATACCGTATAATGGCATCTTGATTTTCCATCTTAACTTCTTGGAGAAGAGAATTAGAGAGTAGATATATCATATATTGGAGAATAAGAGAATTAGAGAGTAGAGAGTTAAGAATAGGATTTAGGAAGAATTGGAGAAGAGATATGAAAAAATGTTTAAGATTAGGAGTATTTATAGGTTTTTTTACCCCCCCCCCCCGCTCACCCCCCCCTACCAACCAACCCCTCGGACCCCCCCTTTACCCCACCCAACGGCTATATAGCCGTTTGGGTTGTCCCCAGCCCCACCCCCAACGGATAGTAGATTAGTAGCCCAACCAACCAATTTTTTTTTTTTTTTAAAAAGAGGCCCGGACCCGGGCCCGGACCCGACCCGGCCGGGCCGGGTCACAATAATCCTGAACCGAGCCCGCCCCGCCCCTTCCCATCGGTTCGGGTCCATACCCGGTCCCGGACCGCCCGACCAGGCCGGTCCCGGGCCCGCACAGTGCCGGGCCGGGCCGGGTCACGGGCCGGGTGGCCCGAACCGAATCCAACCCTACTTGATATCAATTTAGAAGAGCTGGGTACTCATATTTGAAGCACACATGACATATCCATCTAGCAAAAAAATATAAATGAAATTCTTAAATATTTATATTAGAACATTATATGCAAAATCATATTCATTTGTTACTCTGTACCCGTATTTCTTTAAACCTGTGTTAGAAAACCATATTAGCCTGACCAGTGGTGTATCCAGAAAGTTCGGTCAAGGGGAAGTTCACACTATAAAATAAAAATACTACGTATATAGTAAAGAAATGAAATATGTAATATAACTAATTTATGTTGCAAATGAACAAGTATTATCAAGTATTATTCAACCAGAACATTATAAATTTCAACGGAATCAGACAATTCAACCAATTTAAGTATCACTAAACGGGCTCTAAATTATTTATTTGGCTGAACTTGATTTTATCAAATGTTTTGCATATGAAAAATACAACAAAAGCAGTCATTTTAGCCACATACCCCTCTACAAAATTGAGCTCTAATTAGTTGACTTGCTTTAAACAAAACAGTTGATTCACTTATTACACTGAATTGGTTTTCTGCTCACAAATAAATATCCAATAATCTGGCAATCCAATAACAACTCAACAGCAAAATATCCATCCAATGCTTCTTAGAGATGATGGTGACAGAACTATGAAGGTTTCTCATAACTGTTTGAATCTCTAAAGTCTGAAATGGCACTGCGAATCATTCCTGTTACATCTGATCGAACAAAAAGATGGGTGTTGTCCAAGACGTGTAGTATGAACTTCTGTGATTGAGGCAATGAGCTATTCATGTTGATAATGAACTGTGCCATGGGGATATCACATGTTATGAACAATCCTTTGACTGCACTTACCATGATTTCGCCAAGACTTGAGACTTCAGGCTGGATGGAATATGGAAAAACAGTGAACAAGCATTAAAAAAATTTATAGATAAAAACGGGTTTTTATCAGAGCTACACTCACCTCGTTTTGAAAATACAATCATGCCACAAAATTATCAACTGTGTATAAAACTAAAACAACTAAATAATATTAGGGGAGTTTCAAAATATTCATAAAAATACTAAATGGTCACTTTCAACATCATAATCAGTGCTTCAGTTGAATAATGATAACTATGCAATGAGGTCACAATTTTTCGAAGACTATTATCTTAATAATACATTGGTAAATGGTAATTTTTTCATAATATTACTGATTAAAAAAGGATTAAAACCAATGTTCTAAAATTCACTAGTTACTAGTCGGGTGGCCAAGCTCCTCCTAGTGCCCAAGCCAACTAGGCGCCAACACAGAATGCTGATTTCCCCCCTCCCAAGGCATACCCATGTAGTGATGTAGTGATGTGCATTAGGGGTGGGCATAAAAAACCGTAACCGTATAACCGTGCCAAAAAACTGGAAAACCGCCGTTTTTCCCGGTTAACCGAACCGCAATTTTTTAAATCCACGGTACGGTTAACCAACCGTGAGAATAAACGGTTCGCGGTACGGTTACGGTTTTAGAAATATGTTATTATCGGTTAACCAATAACCGGTATGTTCATGTCTGGTCATGAACTTCACGTTCTCAGAGAACTTGGAAAGATAAATATGTATCCAACACATCTAGATACATCAATTCTAATAAACATGTGAAGAAACCAAATTCTGTTTGTCACTATAGAATTTCATATTATTAATAATTAGTCAAAGCTTTTGTGAGTTATAATTAATTAGCCCATTCTGCAATCGTGAGACTTGAACATGTGTATTCTTTTTTTGAAGCAATTGAACACGTTTATTCTTATTAAGTGTATTTTATCTTTTCATGTATTCCACTCTCAAAATTTATTTTTCTCTTGTTTGGACTTAATTAATATAGAAAGAACATGGTGTGTGTATATATTTAATCAATGGTTTGATGATTTTTGGTTAACCGGTTTGTGGTTAACCGAAGTTTTGGTTGGTTAACCGATACTCGGTTAACCGAAGCTTTGGTTAACCGATACTCGGTTAACCGAAGTAATAGGTTTCTCGGTTAACCGGAAAGTTGGTTAACCAAAACACGGTTAACCAACCACGCCCACCCCTATAGTAAAAAGTGGCGGAATATAATAAAATAGATGCAATATTACTAATTTAAGACAACAACATAGTGGGGAAGTTCCATATCTATAAGATTTCACTTCTCTAGACATACCACAATGCAAGACTAAATAAGACCTGAATACCCAATGAATGTTAAAGTACATAGAACAATACCTTTCCTGATTTAGGTCAGTTCGGCTCCTACGCTTAGAAGAACCTAAAGGATCTATATGACTCATAACTTATATTCCTCAAAAACAGAATCAATTAGTACAAAGTGATATGATACAACTCTCCAGTCTAAATCATAACTTAAAAGAACTTAAGGAAGGAGGAGGAGTAGGGAAAAGCAAAGCCAGGCTATAGAAATAAGTATGTTATCAAAGAAGATAAAATTCCGCTGGGTTTAGATGGTTATCTGGTGAGGAGCTAGATCTACGAATTAAAGGAGATATAACTTTTGGAGCAAAGGAGAAAGGG